GGAGCCTGAAAATACAGTGTTTATTGGAAAAGTAAAGAAAATAATAAGATCTTCAACATCATATAATGATGGTAACTAAAAATATTTGCCTGCCAAAAGACAATGTATGTTTAACACACACACATCTCCCCACACACACACACACACACACACACACACACACCCGCCACTACCCACTAATTCACCAGGTGACCTTGGGCAGTATCCTCTCTGCCCCATAGGGGCTGATCCCAAGTCTGGGGATGAAGGGAGAGCTGCAGGGATTGGAGTGACTCACTCTCCATCTGTAAGCCCTCGTCTGCCCGCCCGCAGGAAGGGATGGCACACCGCGGGCTGTGCGCAACTGAGGAGGCAGCCGGCAGGGTCTCACACTCAGGCCTTCAGTGATAACCTCAGCAGGGAGCAGCTGGCCGTCCACCAGCCCCCAGAACAGGCTGCTTCAGCTGGGGCTGGGTGCTCCCCAACCTTCCGCACCGCATTCCAAGGCCATCCCAGGTTGGGGGCAGGGCAGCTATAGAGCCCCAGGACATGAAGCTGGGGTCCCAATTCCCACCCCTGGGCACTGACTCAAAGGCACTTTTCTCCTTCTTAAAGCCCAGACTTTCTCCTGACGCTCAGGACCACCGAGAATTCCTCTTCCCAGAATCGGAAGTCTTGGAGGGCAGTCGCTTTCTAGGAGACTGCAAGAATCCTGGAGCCCCCGTCCTAGGGTAACTGGCCAGCAGGGGAGGGGACTGAGCCTAACGCATTTCTATCGCTCCACAAACCCCACTGCCTTGAAACTGCTTTCTCGGTTGGATCGCACCCTCTCCCCTTCAGTCTTGCAGAGACCCCTGAGCAGCCCTGAACCAGGGCTTCCCCTGTAGTTTTTTAAGTTTCTGGGAGACCCCCGCCAGCGACTGCCCCTCCTTTTCCTAAAATCTGCAGTAGGAGGGCCGCGTCCTCAGGATCAAGCCTCGGCTCCCCCACCCAGGCCGGTCTCAACCCGCGATGATGCTCGGACCTCTCTCTGCCGCGTCCGGGGTGAAACCCCAGGAGTGCACCACACTGTTTCCAGGGCACGCACGGAAGCCGATGGGGTGGAAGGGCCCGGGCGCTCACCGGTACCAGGCGAGGCCGCGCTCGTACCACCTGTCGAAGAAGTGGGGCTCGGAGCCCAGCGCGCGGACGTCAGGGTGCAGGCGCAAAAACTCCAGCAGGGCGCGCGTGCCGCCCTTCTTCACACCCACGATGAGTGCCTGCGGGAAGCGCCGGC